AAAAAAAAAAAAAAAAAAAAAGAGTCATAATATAATAAATTAATTAGCATACCAATCATGTCCAAGGACAAAAAGGGCCCAAAACATGGTGCCTTGAGCAGGCCAATAGAGAGGCCAGAAGAGCCAGGTATTGAATCGAATTGCAGCATAGAGCAATGCAAAGACTATGAACACATCCCTCACAACATAACTCACAGACCTCCATGGATTCTTCTCCCAACAATGCTTGGGAATTGCTGCTCTGATATCTGCAATCTTAAAGGGTGGTGGAGCACTTGGATCAAAACATGTTTGATCCTCTAGAACTGCCCCATTACCAACATGTTGCAGAGACAGAACCTGAACCATTTTGGCCTTAATGTCTCTCTCCCTTACAATGTTTTTGTTATGGAGAGGGATTCTAGCTGTTTATATAACACCAGTGTAGAGCCAGATGTTGATGAATTCTTTCAGATGGACACATGGGCTCATATATATACAACACTAAAAAGTAACAGTAACAATATTAATAATTAATAATAAAAATAACACCAATTATACTTTAATTAATTCATTTACTTTTATACCCTTTATTTGTTTTGCTTTATGAATCTATGTTCTATCGCTGTTCAGATATATGTGTCCTTAATGCCTTGGTTACACCAATCAAGGATGTTAAGATATATATACTAAATTACTAATTATGGAAACATTGAAACAAGAAGTTGTTTTGGATGCATCAAATTTAATTTATATCACTTGTTTAAGTCGTGATGATTTCGAATACATATCAAATTAGACAGAAAATTTGTGGATGTTATTTCTTAATAACGTAGATGCTCTTAATAACAAAAATATAAAAAGCCTTATTTTGTTCACCACTTTCGGATTACGTAGTCAAAGAAGTGAATTTAAAAAGGACTTCAGTTTTTATTTTAATTATTATACTACTTTTTCTTTTTGAGTTACTTGTTTTTTTTTTGCATGTTTAAGTTATCTATTTCGTGACTCTTTGAATATGGTGACATGTGGTTTATTGATTATCTCGTTCATAATGAGTAAATATAGTAATTTTTGAAGATGCTTAATTTGGGCCGGTATTAAAAAAATTATACTTTAAATGTATTCACAGAGATATACAATTATATGAGTTAATAGTGTCATGTCACTTGCTTATTTAATGAACTAAAAATAAAATAAAATAAAATAATTTAAAAAATATGATTGACTGTCAGTGTAAAAAACTTTACATTGACAGTGTATGAATGATTAACTATATATATATATAGTAAAAAATATATATTTATATATATATATATATATATATATTTTTGTAAGATAGTCGTAGTGAGAATTGAACCTAGGTCCTCATGATTCTAACTACCCCAACCCCTCCTCACCTAACCACTAGGCTATATATATATAAGTTTTCACATAAAAAACAAAAATTTTACTAAAATAATATATTTAGGATGAAAATATAATTAATATATGACATATTTTTTTATTTCAAAACAGAAAAAAAATTTAAAATATAAATAAAATATATCCTATATACTTTTAGTCTTTAATAAGCGAACAAAAATAAAATAATTTTTAATAGGAACTAAAATAAAAATTAATTTTTAAATACCAAAAATATATTTAAATTTTGAGAAAGGTGTACCTAGAGTCTTTTATATTAGTTCATGATGTGTACCTGGAAATTTTGGAATTTTTATTATTAATTTATGACTTGGACTTGTGATTTTCGCATTCTGATGAACGATATAACTATACTACTAATATGACTTCTAGAAAGAGTTTTGACATTTTAAAATAGTTTTATAATATTTATTATATTTTAAAAAAATTATTTACTGTATCCTAATAAAATAAAATAATTCAAATTTAAATCATTTTTAATTATAATTCATGAGGTCAATTTTGAATATATAACCAGATTAATTAAGTGATAAAAAAAATTATATTGTTTCAAATGAATTTTTCTCTTAAAAAGTGGCCAATGTAACCATGATAACTGGACTTCCTTGAAGATGAATGCTAAATCTGCATGAGTATCAGAGTATTTGTAACGAGCATAAGGCTAAGGAGGGGAACCATCCCTCAAAAGCCGGCCCAAGAGGTTGGAGAACCTCCCGCCTTATAAGGACTCCTTGGTGAGGAGACCTCCCCGATGTGGGACTTGTTACATTACCACCCCCTTCGAAAGCCAGCGTCCTCGATGGCTGCACTCCACGGTACTTCACTCACCGGCACTTCACTCGGCCTTCTTGCCGGTCAGAACCCTCCGATGGTCAGAACCCTCCGTGGGTAGCCCTTCTCGATTTGGCTGGCTCTCAATGAAAGCACCATTGTAACGAGCATAAGGCTAAGGAGGGGAACCATCCCTCAAAAGCCGGCCCAAGAGGTTGGAGAACCTCCCGCCTTATAAGGCCTCCCTGGTAAGGAGACCTCCCCGATGTGGGACTTGTTACATTACCACCCCCTTCGAAAGCCAGCGTCCTCGATGGCTGCACTCCACGGTACTTCACTCA